ATATTAAATACTTTACAATAATTACTAAATTAAATTCCAATAGAAAGTACTTTAAAGTTCTTTTTTAATTATTCGATCTCTGATATACCTTTTTCTTTTTTTTTTTTTTTTTTTTTGCATCTTTATAAATTGTGTTTCTCTAAATGAACCAATTTTATAAAATTATATGGCATAAGATTGTGAATAGATTTTTCAATTTTTGCACGTCAGAATAGAATTTGCCTGAATGACTCTGAATTTCTTTTGAAAATGATATTTGACGTTCGAAATTCTATTTTAAAATATAGAATAATATTTGCAAACTGATAACGAATACAATCATTTATCAGTTTTGATTAATGTTATGTCATTTCTTTATACCTTTTCTAAAAAAGTTTTAATTAAAATCGATTGTACGTAGATTTGAATAGTATTATAAAATTATTATATATTAACATTTTTTCCCCAATTTTTACAAAGTATAAATGGATAGCATAATTGTTTAAACTTATTTAATCATCGTTACACTCTAAATAGTTGATTACTTTATTTCAAATACTTCTTTTTAATATGAAATCCATTTAAAATAGTTTAATACCAACAGATTTTTTAAAATTTGACAGAAATATTTACGGAAAAAAGGAGACTACATTAACAATAAAATAAAAAAAATTTGTTATAATAAAAATGATTTTAAAAATACTAAACTTATGAAGTATTATGATTTGATTGATATCATATAAATTTCAATGTTTTGAAATTTAAAATTTTTTCAAAGTTTTAAATTATTATTTTCAACGAATTAGAGTCAATGTTGCATAGCGCATACATACAAAAGATTTTAACACAGTTAGTTTCGATGTATTTGTCAAACATTTGTTATCCTCATACAAGTGGAAATTCTTTACTTCAATTGAGACAAGCTTCTTCTTTATTATATGTCCGCATTAGATGAAAATTTCAAAAAAAAAATCCAGTTTTTTCATCGACTGAAGTAGAAGCGAAGAATTCCCATGAAAAGAAATTTACTACTCCATGCGTGTCAATTGAAGAAGGCAGGATTTAACTTAAAGAAACTTGACTCGCGATCTGTGGATGAGACATCTTGCTTTTAACGAGCTTCGGATATACTAGAAAATATAGAATAAAGCATTCCCTGCGAATTCGCTTTATCTCACTGGAGTGTATATTTCATTCGTTCTGTGAGTTTTAGTTTTAGTTTTAGTTTTTCTTTTATTTTTTTTTTTACCTACTCTACTCAAACGACGATCTGTCCTCGAACAGCTGCTTCAGAACAAATTCATACGAATTCTGAAAATTATTTCCAACTTGGACGCTAATGATCTTGATGACTGAACGGATTCTTATCTGTTGGAGCTCACTTTTTAGAAATGAACAGGGTTGATTAAATACGGTACGAAGTAGTCAATTTCCGATGAGTTCTTTGCCTCTTTTTTCAAAATACTAGAAATACGAAGATGATATGGAAAAACTATCAAAGCCTGTAGATATGAATTATTGGCACCTAATGGAAAATATGGAAAGTACTAACTTGACATGAGCACATATCGTCCAAGTTTAAAGAGAATCAATGCTTAATATTCACTTTAACCATACCTAATAGTATAAACGTTAACTTGGAATATATGAGATTATATATCATTGATACTAAAATAATAGATTTTCTCATGTAGAGAAACACGAATTGAATGATTGATTGTTAAAAAGTAATAAATATATTTTATTATACGTAGATGACAATTAATTTGCCAAAGGATTTGATGAACGATTTATTGTATAGAGAGATAGTGGCTGGTGTATCAATGGAAACTGAAAAAGAAAAACGGAAAACGGAAGTATAACAAGGACAAAGTGAAAACTGCGTGCTTTAGAAAAGATGGACATTAGAAAAAAAAAGTTTATTATACATTTTTCAAGACTACCGTAAGATACATTTTTTGTTTATTGAGAAATAATGAAAGCAATTTTCTAATAATATTTATAAAGTTTCCGAGTATAGATTCTTATTAAAGTACTCTCTTATATATATTTTTATATATGTTATTATAAATTATTTCAAATTGTTACCCACGTATCTTTGCGAAATATGTTGAATACTTTGGAACAAGTAATGGAAAATGTTTTGTACACGTTATCTCACAGTACTCGCTCCTTTTCATTGGACATTTTGCCTTTTCGCGTTATAGTATCCTTTTCAACACGCCTTTTCTTCTCTCTCTCTCTCTCTCTCTCTCTCTCTCTCTCTCTCTCTCTCCAAATGCTACTGTTTGATAATCAATCGTGTGCATCGCACGTTAGGGTCAGTGAAAACGACTGGCCGCGGGGGGGCCCACTTCCGTATCTAAACGACCATAACTTCATTTCTCTGAGCGATTTTCAAGAGCTGTGTACCTATGTATGCACACCCTATGTCGATTTACCATCCATTCATTCCCTTTGAATCCTGATTTTTCATTTTCTTTATAAATCGTGTATTATTTTATCCATTTGGGTGTTTTTGACATCTTTGCGCAAATACGTTTCTTGATTCTTGATTTGTAACTGAAGCTCATGCAACGAGATAATCAATTTTTTTGTATAAATTTCTCTGTCCTTTATATTTATATGATTAAAAATTTTTATTCTGAGAAATAAGTTGTTTTAATTTTTAGGTTAAACGAAGAGGTGATTCATATGGATAAATAATTGTCATATTTCAGATTTTTGTAAAAGGGTGCATAAAATAAACTGTTCATTTGTATAACATTTTTAATTGCCATTTCTAATTCCATTTATTTTATTTATTTATTTTTTTTTTCTTTGATAATACACGTTTATTATATTGAATACGATTAATCTTAAATTAATATTGAAATACAATTTTAGTGCTATTTAATGGCATGTAATTTTGTCTGTAATATTTATCGAAGATATAACTTCGACGTTGTAATGAAGTAAAAATTTAATATTAAATATATTTCCATATTAATGTTTATGCTCTAAAATTATTCCTTTAATAATAACAAAGAACAATAATTATTTAGTTGTGGAATTGTTGGAAAATTGTATGCCACAATTTTTTCACAATTATTTGTATATACTTCATTTTCTTAAATATATTATATTTTTCGTAAAAGCAGTAATCTTAAATAAAATCTTTTGCATAATTTTTCAACAAAGTCCATATTATTCATTAAAAAAAAAAAAAAAAAAAAAAAAAAAAAAAAAAAAAAAAAAAAAAAAAAAAATGGAACTACATGAATGTTACAATATTGGCGGGTTTTTGTTTCAATGACTATCGAAAGTTGACTTTTTCGCGTGAAAATAATTTTTTATCTGTTATGCTCGTCTGCTATGTTGCATAGATGGTGATTTCACTTAATAATTTCTAAACTCATTTATTTACGTAATAGTATTTAACTTAATTTATTATTTGTTATTGTTTTATATTAATTATACTTTTCTTTGTGATCTTGTTCGCTATTTCTTAGATTGAAACTGTGAATATCATCGACGGCCTTTTTATTTGTAGTATTAAAGACATAACCAATTTGTATAATTCTTACTTGCAAAATCATGGAGATATCTATTTTTATAATTGAGTTAAAAATACATTACATTATTTTTTATTTACACAAATAAAGACTTACAGAAAATTATTATAAATTAATTTGAAACACCATACATAACATTCTGCGGCAAATAAAGATAGACTACAATTTACAAACACGTCTTTATAAACATTTTTATAAATTTATACACTTCTACATTTATACATTACATGCCATTTTGTAATCAGAATTTTCATATTAGTTTGTGAAATAGCTTATAATATAACGTATAAGTAAATAATTGCTGAAGCTGTCAAAAGGTGTCGGCTACAATAATTAAAAATATTTTATTATATTTGGTTAGTTATTATTATATTATATTTTACAGTTATTTTTCTCAGACAAACTCATGTATTGTAGACATGTCATGGAAAAATTTAAATAATTAGTTATTACGAATTTTCTAAACGATTCTACAATTTCTTGTATATATGTTGTAAAATAAATTTGAATGTATTAAATCCTTATAGCAATAATAATATTATATAATCTCAGTGAAAATAATTTATCCATCAAAATGCATATGCTTTATAATAGTTTTTAAATCTACCAATACAACAACTATTTCTAGTACATTCAAACATATATAGTCTGTGATGTGCAAAATAATTACAACGTTTTGTTAAAAAAAAAAAAACAAAAACAAAAAATAAAAAATAAAAAAAATAACAGCTTGTCCTCTTCTGATCGTTTTCTGCTTCAAGATTCTATAAATGTTTGATATATGTAGTGATGGATTGTAACTTGATTAAAATTTGTGAGTAATCATGGTTGTTTCCATTAAAAAGTTGCATTGATTGCCTGGAGTATAAAATTATTATAAATGTAATTACTGAAAAAAGCTCTAACATAGTTATATTGTAAGTGTAACGAAATTTTCACTTTTTAATACGATCAATTTTCAATTTTTTTAAACAATAATAAAGTAAAATTATTTTAATAAAAGATTGAAAAGATTCTAAAATAAATAGTAACAATGTTTATAATAATAATTGAAAAGGAAATAAATATTAACAATGAGGTAATAATGGTAACGGTGACAGTAACAGTTATTGATAAAAAGAATCGATTAAAGCTAAACAAATTGCTCCTGCATTTTAATTTAATTAAATTAATTAATATATTTATATATAATATAGAAAATTTATCGAACTAATTATATCGATTATCAATTTATCTACCGAATAGCAAGTTTTTCTGTTAATCATCTATAAAAATAGCGCAGAATAAAAATGACGGTTTATGCATATATATATATATATATATATACATATTTTATTTTATTAAAATCGGAAATTACAAGGATAAATAAGCCGTAGTAAAAAACTTAATTATACATAAATTAAATAATATAGTATTGAATACCTTTTTTCTATTGTTTCTTGTGCATTTTTTTACTTCCGCATTACATTTTGATGAAATATTTATGGCACGTTTAAAACACTATGAATGTAATCTATAAAATTTTCAATAGATAAGTGAATATTTATGTGATCTGAATAAGAATTTTGTAACTCTGGACCTATTGCATGATGAATTGCCACTAGTTTATCATTAAATAACACTGGACATCCACTATTACCCTAATAAATAACATGTATAAATATATATATATTTTTTTTTTGTATAGTTTTAGTTTCTTTTTAAATTATTATACTTTTATTATACATTATTATGTTATAAAATTTTGATTATTATTTAATTACTAATAATGGGATTATTATCAAAGAAATAATTTTAAGGCTTCGAATATAATACTTATACTTACGTAAACATATCGATATACATAGTAAATAAATAGTTTATTTAGAACGAAAAATTTTATTAATTTACATTGCCTTAATGATGTACATTTATGAATGTACATTTATGCACTAAATAGTAATTTCATTGACTATACGATGCATTATAATTAACGATTGTTAAGAATTATTGTAAAATTTCTTAACTAACGTTAAATTTAATAGAATAATTTAATTTAATAGAATGTAATTTGTTTTTTAATTTTTTAATAATATTACAAAACATTCAAAATTAACTGTAAATCATAATAATCAGATTTATATGCATTTTTAAAAAAATGAAGAATTTTGATGTTTCAAGGCTAAATGACGAAATGTATAAAAATAGATTTAAACTTACAGCAGTTGTTACGATAAATGGATTTGCAACAGAGCAAATAACATTTTCGGGCAAATAGCCTCTCTGTCCAACGAGCTTCTCAATTTTATTTTCACATTCATCTTTACTTAAGACCGTCAATATAGCAGTTTCCAAATACCTTGACATGTGTCCTTCGATTGTAGCACCCCACCCTGCAAGTCGAACATTCAATCCATACAAATAACTAGGCGATACAGGCATAATGGGCACTGGATCGATTTCACGAGATACTTCTTCCGACAACTAGAATAATATCTATTACTATCATTAAAATAATTATATTGATTTTTCATTACAGAGAGAACAAAAAAAAAATTTCTTCCACTTTTCGCTTGTTTATCACATCAGCATGCAGTGCGGAACAAAAATAATGTACTCACGATTTAACAAATTACTTAAGCTTATACAAATTATTGTTTATTAATGATTGTCAAATTTCTTTACCCTTATAATTGCAATATCGTTAACTGGATTTTTAATAGGCACGCGATTTATAGTTGACCATTGTGTATGAGTTATCCACCAAATTGCAGAGTATGTTCTACCAGCCCTTAAGTCAACTGAGCCGACAAGAATTTCAAAACCTGTTGTTTGAACGAAGGCAAAGCCATGCTCTGATGTTAAAACATCCTTTCTTGAGATAAGTGAACCTGTGCTCTCGTGGTCGTTCTCTCGTTGATAATTATTTGTATAATTAATTCGTTTAAATGATATAACAAAGTTTAATTCGCTTGGACTTGCTCGCCTAACGTTCTGCCCAATCATGGCTTTTGCAGTTACAAAACTCCATTGGCTACCTAAATAATTAAATATTCAGCTTAAAATAATTTTAATGCAAATTACATCGTAGATGTTATTATTTGTATTTTATTTTATATAAAGTACGATGAAACTTTTATCACTTACAAGGTATTAAGGATTGAGTAAATATGAAATAAAAAAAGTTTAGCCACATTCTATGGGACATTAAGAAACAAGTCGTATTTTAATAATATTAACCGAATTGCCCAAATAGCTTTTCTTATTATATTCGATTGCTTTTATAATATAACATTCTTAATATTTATGTTTTAACATAGCATTTTATTTATTTTATTAATCATCTATGTTTTTAATATTTACTAATAGTATAAACGGATACTATTACTGATTGAAATATATTAAAATTGTCAAATAAATACGCTAATGTACTCGCATACTTATGTATAAATATTGAAATAAATTTTTTAAATCGTTAATAATTTTCAACAATATAGCATTATATTTCCAAATATATTGTTTGTATTGAACTTGAAGTAGAATTAAATTATTATATATTCTATTTTACTATGATAATATCTTCAATATTTACTAATAATGTAAATATAATTTTAAATTAAGTTCATGAAATTTACTTGTAATATAAGTTTGAAATATTGTTATTTCAATATTTGACAGCAGATTACAAGTAATGCCACTGATAAATAAAAAATTATAAGAATTAATTATATTTATGTTAATTAGTGTTATATTTATGTTAATAATTTATGTTAATTACCAATTTTTACATAATAAACGACATTCATTTTTACAAATTGTGAATTTAGTGTCACAATCATTTATTTCAATTATTCATTGAATTAATTATTTAATTTAACATATTAGATCAATAAAGGTATGGGAATAATCGTTACAATATTGTCAACCTTTATTCATTAATATTAATTAATCAAAATATCGTGATGTCACATTTAAATATAAGGTGTGTACAAATATTAAAATAGACTGGCGAATATTTTGAACTTTACAAAAGTAATTGAATAATTTTAATATAATTTCACTAATATATTCGAAATATTGAGCCTTTTCTTTCTTTGTTTCTGTGTTTGGCTTGATATTTTTAGTATCGATTGTATTTTTACAATTGGTTCATTTATTTTAAAATAATTTTCATAATTTGTAATATAATGGAAAACCATTTATAGAATTTATATTTTTATTTTATAGAATCTTTTTTTACATAAAAATTCAAGTTTCTATGATACTTTTTGAAATATTTAAATACTTAATATAATAAAAAGATATATTAGTTTATAGCAAATATGAATTAATTTAATTATTTGCTATAATAAAATTTTTAATAATTACATGATATTAGAAATAATGTTTTTTGTAAGTAGTTAGTTTAAGTGGTAAGCTTGTGTGAAATAATCTCAATTTATCATTGAGAGTATTTTTTATTTTTAAAATAAACTTTTTATTTACAATAAATTACAATAATTTTTTTTATATCGTTATTATTTTTTTAATAATAATTTTTTTTTTGTTTTTTTTTTTGTAAAACAATACAAATCAAATATGAAGTCATACGTGGAAATATTCTTCTGCAATGTATCATATAAAATATTTATACGTTTTTGACATAATTTTAATATTCATTTCTAAACACATTTAGATATTTACGAAATAATATTAGTATTAAGAGAAAAAGATGGATTATATAATTTACGAGTAAGGCACAGAATTCAGGTGAACAATTTTTAGTAATTTTTTGTATAAAGTAAAATAACATTGAACTTGATAAGGTAAATAAAAACTTAACAGTTTTGAATTGTTTTCTAAGTAACTATTTCTTTGTTAGTTATTTTACTGTTATTCAGTTTTATTGAAATCTTTTATATATTTTATTTTTTGAATAATTAATTCGTTATATATATATATATATATATATATAAGTTTAAACGTTACTTTTCATGTTGATTAGTTATGAATTTTTTATGGAGACGTATTGTTTTAATTGAAAATTCTTGATTCGTTTTAAGAGTTTTTGAAATATATTTGATTTTGCTTGATATTGACTTAACACATTATAAAAGTTTGTCAAGTTATATAATACTCAGTTAAGAAGTTTTAATATTTTCTAAGTATCATTTATATCACTATTTATATGATTTAAATCTTTAGAACATTTTTCCTTAATACAAAATAGATTTTTTATATCCTTAACTCCTTATATGATGACTGACCTTATATATAATTTTTCTTTTATCGTCTTACAATTAATGAATGACATACATATTATTTTGTTCCCAATTATTATATATTATATCATAATCATATTATTATATATTATTATGATTTTATATAAAATATTTGAGCTGAATAATTTATAATTTATTCTAATTTTTTCGCTTATTACACATAGATAAAGTTCTTTTAAGTTTATGCCTTTTATCAATAAACGTCATCAGATATTAAAGTTTATTTTATACTCATTTATCTTGAAGCTATGAAATTATTTCATTTATAAATAATTATAATTTGAGCTGTCACAATTTTACAAACTGATAAATTTTAAATTAAAATTCTGTATAATTTTTCCAAAGTACATAATAAACTGAATTCTATTCGCTATATTTATTCTCAAACACCTATTATATTCAAAATTGTATAGAAAATGTTTATATTATATAATAATATAATTTAAATTGATTTTGAATTATTTCTCGAAGCGATACATTAATTAATCAAATTAAATTTAATTACAGCTTTTTCACATAATTTAATAGAATGTAGTTACTACACCTTAGTAAAAACAATTCTTTACTAATTATTGTTATAGTTTCGAGTTATAGATTCTTTGAATTTATTTACTTCACATTTGATGATACACAAATCATTTCCCGTTGAGTAAGTATAAATTATGATTCTATTTAATTTTTAACAATTATGTATACAATTATCCATAAAACGTTTATAGAAAGTAATAGATATGAAAGTATTTATTCCTTCGGACGTATAATAAGTAAAAGCAGTTTCTTTATAAACTCCTATTAACTGTTCATTATGCAAAACTGGACCACAACTCCTCAAACATACCACAAAGCGTAAAATATAAATAGTATAGAGAGAAAGCTTTTTCTAATTATTTCAAGGTAATTGTTTTTAAATAATTTAACAAAAGTAACTCTACATCAAAACTTTTAAAGGTTTTGATAAAATGTTATTATTTTTAGCGTATTTATGATTCAATAATAAATAATTCAGTTTTTAATTCATTTGAAGAATCAATTTAGTGAAAATTTGTTTTTATTATAAGTTAATGTACTCATATATGTAATAAAGCAATTAGGATACGAAATAAAATACATAGAAAATTTTGAAACATTTATTAGAAAATAATTACTATTTTTATTATATTGAAAAATATCCAAATTTGTAGTACCACATGTGTGATTTTCAGTAATTAATTTATTTTGATTGGATATATTTATTATTTGTTTACATTCACTTGTTGGTTATAGTTACCATCTCAAACTTTTCCATTCTTCGACATAGTGCGTTTTTTGTCATATAAAATGTTAAAATTACATTTGTATTATGAAAATGCGAAACTGGCCATGACGATAAAGTAGCAGAGTAGATATGTTCAATGTTAATTAGATTTAACTAAATTTAAAAACTAATATTTATTTCCATTATTCGAACGAACATTAATATTAAAGCTAACAATTTTTTTGATTTTCATCTATCTATCTTAATTATTTATTAATTATTTTAATTACTATTATTATTATTTGCTTTTACTTTATACATAAATATATCCCTGAGATTGCAATCATCGTTTGAATATATATTGTCATAGTTTTTTTTATATATTAATGTTTATTTGTAATAAGACATCCACTAGAATATCTACTATCTTGTACCTTACAGTAAATTACGACTTTCAACGACAACGTTAGTATTAGCAATCCGTGTATGTTTAAAGCAATATTTAATAGAATGATTATCTGTATTTGAAACAAGAAATATTCACGTATAAACATGATCAGTTTTCATTTGATGATTATAATGATTGGCACGTTTAATAGATACGACAAAAGGAAATTAGCCTTGATGAGCTAATCTAACATTACCCTATGATATTGGATTTGATATTATAATATTGTATTTATTGCCTAAAGAATAAACATATATTGAAGCAGAATTTTGATAATAATAAATTATCACTATAAAAGTCATTAATTATTTATAAACGAAGCTATAGATATTAAATTTCCTTACAAAATATCAAAACAGTTTCAAAGAGGCTCGTGTTTAGCTGACTTCGTGAAATATATATATATATATATATATATATATATATATATATATATAAGTAATTATTAATAAATAATTTTGACTCTTAATTTAATAACTAACAATTATTCGTTTTCAATGAAATATAATCTTACTTATCTATCCGTAATGCAGAATACATCAATTTTTTACTTTCATATTTATGATCAATGTTTTCTTTTACATATTTTTCATACATTTTTAAACACATTTCACCATATATACAAGATATATTTCACGTAAATAAACAGCAAATTTGTTTCATTATATTTTTTCGAATATTCAACGATTAGTATTTATTGTTAATTAGATTTTATAATATTTCGATTCATCGTACGATAATATAGCGAAATAAAAAATGTGTATATACGTGTAATACAATGTAGCTTATAAAGTGTTTTTAATTTTTAATCTGAAAAATATTTATGTAATGAATATGTATGAAAACTTTTTTAAGTTTAGTAGTATATGTGGCGTGTGTTAATTGGTAATGGATTTGAAAGTGACGTATATAACTTTATGCATGACAAATTTCTTACAATCGGAAAGCAGCTGTGTACATTATTGTGCATTTATTAATGAAATTACTAGATAATGTATCGTAATCTAATTTCGTTCCCATATTGTTTACAGAAAATTTTTTACCATTTTTTATTTCCATAATACATGAAATATAATCGGTATTGAAATGTTTTTTCAATACGATTAATCCAAATATCAAGTCTTATAGGAGATTATAGATAACGTAAGGAATTTTAATAAATTTCACACTGGGCTTTGTTATCTTCATGACCAAATTCAATGACGTCGTTGTCCCGTGAATGACTAAGATAACGAGTGCTTATTCAATGATCAGAATGATTTTCTTAGCTTTCATGTGAGATTTTAAAGAAATACACAATTTTGTTGCAGATTTTTGTAGTCGCTTCATCAGAAAGAAATTCAGAAAATATATATTTAAAGAAATACTTTGTTACTTGTACAAGCATTCATTTTTTTATACTGACATCAATACTGATGTGCACTGATTAATTACGCGAGGTCATAAAAAGTTGTGCATGCGCTACCTGGTATGGTTTTTAGTATAAAGTAAGTATTGATAAAGTCGTTATATTTTGAGTAGGAATTTTACAATGTTCTTATCGATCGACATTATCTTATCGATACCCCAGTATATAGTAATAGAGTTTATAAAATCTTATATATTTACATAATGAAAAAAATACTAATTCAGAATTTATTATACATTGATACTTTATTCAATTAAATATAATAATTATTAAATCTAATTATTATTAAATAAAATTGATTATTATTATTATTATTATTGTTCCAAGTAGATATTGTATCGAGATACAATAACATTTTTGACATACGTTTAATTGACGCATTTAATTTTATAATAAAAAAGAGAAGAGAATTCATTACTAATATGTAAAATATTTAGTTTCAAGAGTAGAACGATAATATTTTGGGATTAAATCAATAAAGAAAATGATGGAGGTTGGAAACATTATACATAGGTGAATTTATTATAGAGAAAATTGTTGAAAAATATACGGAATACTCTAGTTTTTATATTACATTTTATTGAATCATAAATTATTAAAGAATGAATTTGAGTATTTCAAGATACCGAAAGTGGAGACGATGGATGTTAATGTTAATGTAATATATTAATAGTTATGACGCAGTTCAAAAGTAATCGAATATTTATTGAATAATTATGATAATAATAATATTTCTTTAAGAATACAATATGCGCCAATAATATGATGTAAGAAACTGCGATTAACTGAGTGAGAAATTATTTTTTTAAGTATTTAGGCTTCTCTATATAGGCGTGATTGTGGTGGAATATAATGCAGTTTTCTAATAACAATGCTCGTGTTTCACGCACATAAAATGTGTCACGTTAGTTCAAAGACAAATTTTATTTACACATGCAGTTGGAATAAAATTAGGCTGTAGTCATGATTATTGCATACAAAAAATTATCCGAAAAATTTTTGTCCAAGAAAAATATCAATACGGTAGTAAATTCAAAATACATTACAACAGTAGAGTGTTCGGTATTAATTTCGATTAATACCGAATTAATTCGGTATTAATCCAACAAAATAACATGTTGTTTTCTTACATTTTACTTTTGTTTTTCTAAACAATAAAAAAAACATTATAATATCAAGTACTGAAAAATCAGTTTAAAAGTAAAAACATAAGGTTTTAGTTATTTATCGAGAACTTTAATATGTGTAAATATTTATTTTTAATGCAAATTCTTTAAAATTCTGAAATCTTTTTTTTTTTTTTATTTAAAAATTAATATATTTTTATCATAAATAACTACTAAAACAAATGCAAGACTATTTATAATAAATAATAATAAAGTGATTTATAATAATAAAGACAAAATTTTAGTATTATAAATTTATTTTTTGTAAATTAATATTGTATTGAACGGGTGATATTGTTTAAATTATTCGCTTTATTTTATTAATATTATACATACATTACTGTTGCAAAAATTCGCTGTTATAATAATATATAACGAAAATGAGGAAAAAAAGAAGCGCGTCAATGTGAGTATGACATTCGCCCAATAATAATAGAACCGACTTTCCTTTGGCAAAAGAAAAGCTTTTACAGATTAGCCTGATTCTTATATTATGATTAATATGTAGAAAGAATATCTGTGCAAAACGATGGATATAAACAGTTTTATCACCATATGTATAGATTTAATAATCGAAACGTATTATTTTATAAACTCTGACTAATTCGTTGTGAAACAGAAACTCATCGTCACTACTACATTAACAACATATGATAATATAAAAATAAAAAGTTGTTATTTAATTGTTATTTAATATGCGTAGAAACGTACTTAAATGTTTACCTTAATACTTTGTATATGAATAATTTGTAAAATTTTATAATGGCTTAGTAAAATATTCGTGTTATGCACATTAGAATAAAGCAATAAAATTAAAAAAACAATGTTATTTTTAAAATTCTGTAACTAGTATAAACAAAGTTCATTTAATTCATTTAACAATTTTAAATAAAGCAAAAATACAATTTTATTTCTAAGAGAGAATATTATATATTTTATAATCGAAGTACTCGAATTTATTTTTTAATTAATTTTTTCATTGAACGTTACCTCGGCAAATCATAGCGCTAGTTCTTACAATCGTTAGATTCTCGAACGATTATAAAATAAATTAACACTTAATAAATTTGACTATTTTTTCTTAAAATAATATTATAAAAAATAATAATTCTTAAATTAAGTAAAAACTAAAATTTTCGGAAAGATTTTAAATGGTTATTAGCTGTCATTATAAAACATGCAACGCTAATGCTAATGCTAAGACTTATAATAAAGAGTTTCTATTAAATTATCAATTTATAGCATTTAATTCTTTGAAAATGATAAAAGTAACCAAAATGGAGAATATTTCCTAATATGCCAAATTATTAATCTGTATCTTAGATATTGTTTAAAGCACTACTTTAGCACTCAGTAAAAGACCAAACTCCCTGCTGTTATATTTAAATATTCAATCAGCATATAAAGCAAATAGATTTATAAAACAAACAAATTTTTGTTAAATTTTTGATATCTTACAATAGATTCTTAAGATAAAGAAATTTTAAAAATTTTAAAAATTTGTGGGTTTATATGTTATTGTTATATGCTATATTTATTTTTACTTAGTTCAATTACCACGTTTTGTACTATATAAGTTAATCTAATGCATACTTGAATTGGTTTTTGCATATGTGACATGATAAATACAATTTAATTTATTTATCATTTTTTTTAAATGATTCATAGATTCATATATTTATAGTACGCATATATACGCATTTAGACTTCATCAGATACATTAACGTCATACTTTATTTTTATTTTTATTTTTTATCTAAACGCTATATTATTATAAATAATTTTTTTAAAGCAATGACGTAAAATAATTTTGTTAATTATATATTTTTTACCATATATGTTTGCGAATAACAAATTTCTTAATTTTTATTTAATTTAGGACTTTTCAAGTTTGTACATAATTATAATGATTTATTAAAAACAAATCATTTATCTAAAACCAAATCTATTATATCTAATTGTTCATAAAGATTTCAGAAAGTATTATAATTAATTAACGATTTGCGAAGATTATAGGCTATAAATTGAATAACATTGTAGTAATATTTAATTTAATATCTACTTTATTATTGTATATATATATATATATATATATATATATATATATATATATATACACACACACGCGCGCACACACGCATACACATTTTTTTTTATAAATAATCTTCTTTTTTATAAATCATGTGTGATTTTGCAAAACATCTGTGATATATTCCCTATAGTAATCAACAGATACAAAAAGGTTTACTTTTCCTGGACTATATTGTGCTAAATTCGAGGGAGACGTTGCTTTATGAATGCCTATTAATTGTCCATTATATAAAACTGGAGAGCCACTATTGCCCTAAAAATATGCAAAATACGATGTAAACGTGTGAAGTTTGAACGTTTGTGAAAATTATACATTTTACGAGAAACATAAAAAACAGTTAAGAAAAAATGTAATTCTAATACGCTGTTTAAGGAAATCAATTGTGATATTGATTAAGAAATAAATAAGCGAGTTTGAAAAAAAAAAGCGAGTGAGCTGTGATTCTTCATACAATGTTAATTTTAGTTTTTCTAAAGATTTTATTTAGATTTTTAAGATTTGTATTATGTAAATTGATTGAGGATTAATGGGAATAAATTCTGTTTAAATGATTGGAAGAACAATCGTTGTCCATATAAATACATAGGACAGTGCCTTGAACTTGAAATGAAGTTTATCTAGCTAGTTTTATCCATATTAAATTTAATAAAATAAGATATTGAGAATATAATTTAAATAATACATACTTTGCTCATTAATGCGACTGGATCGGCAGCTGCGCATAAATTATTTACTGGAATTCTGCAATTTCTTTGAAAAAATACCTGTAGTCTCTGTTCACATGCATTTCTCGATAAAATTGTCACATCAACTGTTTCCATCATATTACTTATTGCGCCCGTAGCTGTTTTACCAAATCCAGCAACCGTAACAATTGATGTAAATAATTGTGTGTCTGGTACATTTGATAAGGCTACAGGTTGAATAGTAGCAGTGACGTTTTGAAGCAACTAAAACAAATGTAATATATATATTTTGTATAAGGGATAACTTTGTGGGTAATTTTTAATATACGTTTTTCATCAATTAATTTAAAATCAATTAATTTAATTAAAAATTTATAAGGATAGAATATTTTAATAAAATAATTTTCAGTCAGAGGAGGCTTACCCGTATTATGCTAATATCGTTTTTGTTATATCGAGGTGCAATATGTCGGAACGTAGTCCACGTAGAGTAAGACATCCACCAGTCAATGGGATATTTAATGCCTTCTCTGATATTATGGCTTCCGACACTGATTTCAATATAAAAAGCCGAAAGTGGCTGTAGACAATGTTCAACGGTTAAGACATCGCGATTTGATATCAATACACCTGTGCATAAGTGATCATATTCCGATAAAGGATTAGAAGGATTAATACGCTTAACGGATGCGACGAATGGAAATTCGCCTGGATTAGCTAATCTAACATTTTCACCAAACATAGGATTTGCCGCTGCATTATCCAAATCCTTCACTAAAGGATTAAAAAATTTTATATAGTAGATATTTTATTAGATACGTAGATGATATTTAATAACAGATAGTCGTGTACTTACAGAATATTAGAAAACTCGCGAGAATTGAATATACCTTTAGTTGCATGCTATAATTAAACATTTTTAATTCATAATTTTACCTTTATAATTAATTACATTGAAATATAATTAGATCGTAATGTTGATAGTTTAACTGCGGTATGACAATATGTTTTTAACTATTATAAACGTGTTCTTTATATATTATTTTACAGACAGTTACTATTATTTACACTACTTAAACCAAAAAATAACATAAAAATATTTGTTAAGTAGGTCAGGAGTCCTACACAATTAAAAAATAAATATAACTTTCTCAAAAGAATCTTATTCTATTAAAATTCTGTAGTATAATAACTTTATTTTTTTCAACTGATTGATATTATAACTTATTAAATATTTACATAAAAGTGGGTTATGTTTAAGTTTCTTCAATACTCATGCCACATTATACATTAAGATTTAATAAATAAAATTGATAGCATTTAATGTACAGTGACAATTAAAATCATTAAACCTCCCCAAATTCATAGTATTCACTTGAACTAAGAATTAATTTAAACTAATTTATTCATCATATTATCCATACTGATTAAAATTTTATTACTTCATTTAAATCGTAGCCATTATTATGTTAAGCTTTTATACATAAAAGAATCCTAATAAATGTAATATTATTCGAAATGCTATTTCAATGATTAAAAGTAAGTATATACAATGTGTTAATTAAATATTTTCAAAAAACCAAAAATTCTTTCACACTTTTATTATATTACACTGGCAATATAAGTAATACTATTAAACCCACATAAAAAATTTATTACTTATTGCGTGTTAGATTTACTCATTACCACTGTCAATCATGCATAAATGAGTAATTACATAAAACATATTCAAATATTATGGGAATAGGCAAAAAAATATATATATTAACAAAAATATATTAATCGAAGAATATTTAACTTCTTCATTGCACACAAGTCTCAAATAGTCCATTGTCATAAATAAAACAATTTTCTTGACAATATAAGAGATAATCATTCTTTTTTAAGTTTAAATTATAACTTTCTATGTGATATAATATTTTATATCTATGCCTGAAAATATTTTTTAACTTGGCTTTATTAATACAGCTGTTCGAAAATTATGTTATTTTATGGATATTAAAAAGTGTTCCTATTACGTACAAACGATAAATTCATAGAATCATGAATACTTTATTAATAAGTAGGAATATTTAAAACGAATTTAATTTATATTTCAATACAGCACATTATATATCAAGATTTGATTTGGATTCAGTGTCATTTAGAATTTATTCAATGTGTACATAGAATTATTATACTATTAAGTACCTTCATTATTTTTTTTTCAGATTGCTCAAGACTTTTCAAGTAACATGGAGTTTTTTTTTTTAAAATCCCAAAGTCTTTAATGGATCGTCGTATAAGTGAAATTGTAAATACGTTTATACTAATAAGCGTTTATGGAAGTCCAATTAAATTAATTGTGTAATTATAAAAATTGATACCAATTATTGAACAACTTTTGAGAAGTTTAATAAATAAATTGTGTGAAATGTATAAATGAAAAATAGAGATTTCGGTCGCGTGCAATGAAAAACTAAAAACAATAAAGACAAATTTTACATAAAAAGTTTATCTTTCAAGATAATATTTTAATATTTCTCGTATTTTCAATGTGTTAATAATATTTCCTACAACTAGTAACAAAACTTGGGTATAATTAGGATTTATTTCATTTCAATAGCATTGTGAAAAGAATTTGTTATTTAAAGTAATGATCGTTAATCGCTCTTTGCAATGGATTATTGTATTAATCGTTAATTCTATCTGTATTTTCTACGAATTATTTCCAGTAAATACACATTTATACTTTTTATTGTTTGTTGTTAATTTTTCCCTATTATATTTTCGTAATCACGTTTCTTGTAAATTTATAGTTCTGAAGATGGCAGTCCACGTATAATGATTATCTCCTTTATTCATAAAAAATCTCTAGATTATACTGGAATAATATTTTCTCATTCTATTGGCATTTGAATGATCAAACGTTTTAATCAAAATTCTATAAAATTTTTGTTTGTATTAGGAATTTGAAATTGCTACAGTAAAAGTTAAATATCAAACAAGAATACTTAGTGTATCACAGTTTAAAAATAACGAATACCTAAGTTTGTCGGTGAATTAAAAGTTGATTGACTCCAGCTCCGTTACAATAACTTTTCTTATCCAAAAAAAACTTGGAATTTAAAATTAGTCGAATTAAAAATTTTATGAAGGTTTTAGTAATCAATGATAAAATTATAGTTTTTATAGTTTTGGCATATTTTTGTATTATCAAGATATTACTTGCGCGAGAAAACATGGAATACCATTTACATCATAAATAATTTGTGTGGAAAAATACATAATTCTTTTATAAGAATTTATAAATTTTTTCAATCTGATAATAGTAATCTTATTTTTAATATATTTGTATTCAGTATTGTATTTATTGTAGAATTAAGTATCAAACATTTACATAGAATTCTAATTCCTATTCAATGCCTTTAATTATTTTTTTTTAATTGTAATCTTTAATCAATTTGAATTTTTCTTAGTATTTACAAGATCAACAATTAAGGATTTGTTTTCTGTTGTAAAATTATTATTCCTTATTTGTAGTATTAATTCGATCTGTTTTAAGTAAGACTCATACGATATAAAATTGAGTTCATGTTGACATAAGCATATTGATATAAAATTTTAGGATTATTGTCCTCTTTATCTGGAATCAATATGATTATTTTTGAATATTAATTCTTCTATTATATTTACCGATTACTAATTTATTAATTTTCTTTCCTTTATATGATATTCACAATCAGATAATATACATAATAAAAATTAATTGTAATAAATGTTTTATATCCAATATATGCTTTTATAAATCTATCATTTCCTATGAATAAACTATAGTAGGTTATGTTATTTTAGGTCAATTCTCAATCTAAAATATTCTAAATACCCGAAAATGATAGTGTTAAAAGTTTTAAATAATTGTAATAATCAAATAAGAAAAAATGTCGGTATTACTGCTTCAAAGTATATTAATGTACTCGAGAATAATGTATTGGAGAAGACGCGCCGACTTTTATACCATATAGTTTGTTACTATTCAGAGTTTTTGCACGGAAGGTTAGCAATAAATACCACTGTAAGTAATTAATTCTTAAGAATATTTTATAAGTATTATGCAATGATCTATTTTGTCTAATTATGTAAATTATTACTTTTATAATATTTCTTTTTCGTTAAATTTTATAACTTGCATGTGGTAATTAATTCATGTATTTATTTATATTTCCACTAAAGTTACTTACAGTTTTCAGCATAATGAATGAGTATATGTATAATACTTATCTACTTATATTATAATATAAGTTAATGATGATAGTAATATTACTTAATTCTGTTTCCTTATATTCGTGGACCATTAGCAAATAAATTTAAGTTTTGTATTTAATAATTGTTTGAATTTAATGTTTCATAAATTTATTTATTTGTATATTATATAATGTTAGAAATATTGATGTTTGTATGATATAAATGTCGTCGAAATGTTTACAATCATAAAAATAAATAAATTTGAAAACGATACTTTCGGAATACATGAAAAATTTTATAGATTTTCGGAAATGTGTAGCGATGTATTGAAAAAGTATGTAAATTCATACATTTTAATTATTCTTCTGAATTTTATGATATAGTTGACATGAATAATAATTAATTTATTAGTTATTAATATTTTCAATAGATTTATAGAGTTAGCTAAGAAAGAATTTGTAATATTATTTCTTTATCTTAAATGATTTCCATTCATTTCTACTAATATCATTTTTTATTTTATGTATTAAAAGTTTCGATTATACAATATTAATAAAATAGATATAAAAATGTTTAATATTTAAAATAGTTAAATAAAAATAATTTTAATATTTTTGTAAAATTTAGTAATATGAATAGATAATTTTTATTGTTGTAAAGTGAATTATATTTTAATTGAAAAGAATATAAAATATTAGAATTAAGTAAAAATAAAATAAAAAGTTATATAAGTGTTAAAATTACTTATATTAATATTAAATTCAAGCCAATAATATTTCGAATATAAATAATTAATTAAATGCTGATCAAGAAATATCAAAATTTACTTCGAGATTTCAATACAAATAAATTAGGAAGAATGAAAATAAGAATAACAGTTTACTGGTTAGGAAAGTGTTTGTAATATAAAATGGTCAAATCATATTCCATAGCTCGAATCTAATGTTTTCTCTCAAATCAATAACAAAAGTGGAATTTTAAACAATTTTAAAATATTACTAATAAAAGAATATTTATTATAATAGATCAATATTCAAAAATTCCTTTTAAAATTACGTATAATTAATGAAATATTTACTATGGAATGACTTAGAAATATTGTCTGCGTTGCTCCACTATAATTTGTTAGCATTCATCACTATTGAGTATATTTTTCATTTATACAAACATTCAGATACATAAATAAATACATATATATTTGGATTCATGAAAGCGAAGAGCGGGAGAGGAAAAGTGAAAGAAAGAGAGAGAGAGAGAGAGAGAGAATGAGAAGATATGCAGACAAAAAATGAAATATTAATAACAATTGTTTTAGTATTGTAATTGTATTATTTTACAGATATTCTCAATCTAATATATTTATTTCAGAATTCTATAATGTATGAAAAGTTTATTAATATAAAGAAATACAAATTTTTTATTATATTCGTAAAGTCTGGTTACGTTACAATTAAATATATAAAGTTGTGATTTATGAATATTAATTTAAACTATTTAATATCATTATATTACACTTTTGCATTAATTGAATAAAATTATAGTTGGACTCGAATTACGTTTTTAAATTATTTAATTAAAATAAATTTTAAATTTAAGATTTCATTTAATTTAAATATACTCGTAGAGTAGTAAATATCATATACTAATGTATTATAAACATAACAATTAATTTTTCCAATTATTCCCAGTAATGAAATATTATTTTTATATCTTTTTTTATTGACATATATGTTTTTTATTACAATATTCATAACTTTTAATAATTTTTAATAACTGCTTCAACAAATCTTCTATAATAAGGAACACTAATTAAAATATTCACTCTTCTTGGATCATAAATATTTAAATGTGAAGGATACGTTTCAATGTGAAGTCCTAGCAGTTGGCCTCTATATAAAACAGGTGAACCACTGTTTTTCTGAAAATACATTAATTATTTTAGCAGAATTAAAAGCAAAAGAAACAAATTTTACATACTAATAATAAATCTGTTTACATAATTAGGTAAATTTTTTCGATTTTTACTTAAAATTAAATAAAATTCATATTAAATAAATAGACATAAGACATTACAATAAAATATATTGTCGACAAACATTAAACTATATTATGCCGTCAAATTACGCAATCAAAATTTATATTTGATTTTACGTTCACACGATTCTTATTATTTACTTTTAATGAATATCAACATACTGTTTGGATAATTTTAGTCACATAATGTTTTGATGGAATTTTATTTAAATATAATTTAAGTACTTCAATTTGTGTTAAGTTGTTTTTAAAAAAATATATTATATTATAAATTGTTAAAAACAGTTAAATCATACTAACATTGTCCAACAGTACAAATGGATCTGCTACAGCGCAAAATTTATTGTCATCTAATACAACAGCAGCATTTAAGAGGTCAGATAACCTCTGTTCACATTGCTCTTTTGGTATGATTTTCAACTTGGCGGTTTCCATCAAACCAGCCATCAGCAGATTACTTGTAACGCCAAATCCAGCCGTTTGAAGTGTTGATCGTAACATAACGTGTTTTGCCACATATGATATGGGTGGTGGTACAATATTATCCGGGACTGTTTGATTCAACTAAAATTAATTAATTCTTTATTATAATGAACATTCAATTGAAAATAAAATTACAAACGCCGATGGAGCATATGCATATTTATAAGTTAATTTATGTACATTAAAAATTATTTAATATATTAAAAAGTAAATTACCCTTATCATCGTTATATCATTATGTTCATATACAGGTATTGAATGTTGAATTGTACTAAATTGATTGTAAGATAACCACCAAAGTACACCATATCTTGTTCCGTGCCTTATGTCATGACTTCCAGCTATAATTGTGATTGTTTGATCAGTAAAAGTTGAAACACAATGATCAGCCGTTACAACATCTCTTTTTGAAACAAGAGTTCCTGTGCAAACATGATTAGCTTCTGGTCGTTGGTTGTTCTGGATCGTATTTGTAATGGATACAACAAAAGGAAATTCTCCTTCACGAGCAAATCTAACGTTTACTCCATGCATTGGATGTGCGTCACCAACTTCATATTTGTTATCTAAAGGATATAAATATTTTCAATGAATTCAATCTATTGAAATAATGCTGGACGATAAATAATAGATATTTTTCAACTTACTCAATATTAAATAACCAATCAACAGTAGATATATATGAAACTGCATTGTCTGTATATTAATTTTTTTAATTTTATATTAGTTAATTAAGATATTGTGATTATATTGTGCCAGATCTTTTTTAAGTTTAAATTATAACTTTCTATGTGATATAATATTTTATATCTATGCCTGAAAATATTTTTTAACTTGGCTTTATTAATACAGCTGTTCGAAAATTATGTTATTTTATGGATATTAAAAAGTGTTCCTATTACGTACAAACGATAAATTCATAGAATCATGAATACTTTATTAATAAGTAGGAATATTTAAAACGAATTTAATTTATATTTCAATACAGCACATTATATATCAAGATTTGATTTGGATTCAGTGTCATTTAGAATTTATTCAATGTGTACATAGAATTATTATACTATTAAGTACCTTCATTATTTTTTTTTCAGATTGCTCAAGACTTTTCAAGTAACATGGAGTTTTTTTTTTTAAAATCCCAAAGTCTTTAATGGATCGTCGTATAAGTGAAATTGTAAATACGTTTATACTAATAAGCGTTTATGGAAGTCCAATTAAATTAATTGTGTAATTATAAAAATTGATACCAATTATTGAACAACTTTTGAGAAGTTTAATAAATAAATTGTGTGAAATGTATAAATGAAAAATAGAGATTTCGGTCGCGTGCAATGAAAAACTAAAAACAATAAAGACAAATTTTACATAAAAAGTTTATCTTTCAAGATAATATTTTAATATTTCTCGTATTTTCAATGTGTTAATAATATTTCCTACAACTAGTAACAAAACTTGGGTATAATTAGGATTTATTTCATTTCAATAGCATTGTGAAAAGAATTTGTTATTTAAAGTAATGATCGTTAATCGCTCTTTGCAATGGATTATTGTATTAATCGTTAATTCTATCTGTATTTTCTACGAATTATTTCCAGTAAATACACATTTATACTTTTTATTGTTTGTTGTTAATTTTTCCCTATTATATTTTCGTAATCACGTTTCTTGTAAATTTATAGTTCTGAAGATGGCAGTCCACGTATAATGATTATCTCCTTTATTCATAAAAAATCTCTAGATTATACTGGAATAATATTTTCTCATTCTATTGGCATTTGAATGATCAAACGTTTTAATCAAAATTCTATAAAATTTTTGTTTGTACTAGGAATTTGAAATTGCTATAGGAAAGGTCAAATATTAAACAACAATAGTCTGAAAAGTTTGATTTACTAAAAGTTCGGTTTATTAAAAATTGTTTAACATATGTATAATTACAATAATTTTTCCGTATCAAATAATATTTGAATTTAAAACTAGTCGAATAAACAATTTTATGTAGGTTTTAACAATCAATGATAAAATTATTAATTTCATAGCTTTGACATCATTTTTTATTATCAAAATACTGTTGCGTACGCGAGAAAACATCGAGTATTATATACATAATTCTTTACACAGGTGTTTCAAATAGTAATTTGAATTTATTCTAAAATATTCGATTAAATATCATAAATCTAAAAAAAATTATACAGAAATTCCATTCCACTAAACGTAATAATTATAACATAAAATTAACAGAAAAGTAAATTTCACATTCGTTGGGAATTAAATAAAAAACTAAGGAAATATCAAATATCCGAAAAGCTTTACATAAGATAATAGTTGATAATAGCTTCTATACAATTATTTGTCGTTATAAAATAATATAATCGAATCTCTTCCTATTATGCCGTTTTCATAATTTATAGTTAAGGCACTCTTAACATTATAAAAAAAATACTTAAACCATCATACAGCTCTACTTGGTTACCTTAAGGTTATTTTAAGGTAATTTTTAATTCTAATCATAATTCTGTGCTGCATATATTGAAATTGATAGCTCTTAATTAATATAATTATTAAATCGCATTTAAATAATGGAGGATTATAGCGTTATGCAAATAGCCGATGGCATGATAATATAATATAATCCAGGTGATCAAATATATCAAAAATAGGATAGTTAACATTTCACGTGATTACGATAATTTATTCAATTCTTACTCAGATTACCAGAGTCAGAAAGTCCAGTTGATTACACAGTCGAAACCGGGAGATGTAAGCTGATAAAACGGAGCTCCAATAATATTTTTCAGCACTTACAGCCAACTTTAATTACAATCGCAATTACATTAACAAATGCAAAATTACGCGACTTTAGCAGCCGAGAATAACCAATAACACTTAGAAAACATTAGAAGTAGGGCCACAGAGGCAAACAAAGGTCCTTTTTTTACTTATACAAAACTGTAGGGAATCCTAATGTTTCTCTCTTTTTTATGATTACGTCATCCCGAGCACGTTATTAAGGATGGAAATCCTGCGAGTGGAGACTGCAGGACAATTCAGCATAGGAGAGTTGGTCCGTAGCTTCTAAGTGAGGTATGTGCAATGGATAAAAATTGGCGATTGCGGTTGTTTGTGCGTGGGATGTGATTGAATCAACATATTTTGAAATGCTTTTTGTAACAGTGAGCAGCGATGTGAATTTCGAATTTGGGAATGAGATTCCAAAAAAAGTTGGCTCTCTCCGCGGCGGTTTAATTTTATATTCTCCATAGAGAATATTATGGGCAAACCGATTTCCATTACTCAAACCTCATAACCGTCTGCATATGATAATTTTTTTTCTATTTTAGGTTTTCCGTTCTTTCCTGTTCTACTAATCTTTATCAGGAAATTTGAGTAGCGACTTGTTTACATCATAATATGAGAATATCATTAAAAATCGTTATCTAACTGTTCAAATAAGCAATATCGAATATGTCATATTAAATTGCTCTTGATTTTCTAACTAACATGGAGTTTTTTTTTTGTAATTGTAATGAAATTGTAAATACGTTTATATTAATAAGCCTTTATGGATGTCCAATTAAATTAATGGTGTAATTATAAAAATTGATACCAATTTTCAACATATTTTAAGGAGTCGGGATGTGCAAGACATGATCTTTTATAAATACACTATAAGCGTTCTATATAATATATAAAACATTTGAAACATATAATGAAATATACATAGCTAGCTCACTTAAAGTGCTTAAATATAATGTAAAACCTAGTTATTATTAAATATATTTTTTATTTATACATTCATATAGATAAATAAGTATAATACATATATATTTGGATTCATGAAAGCGAAGAGCGGGAGAGGAAAAGTGAAAGAGAGAGAGAGAGAGAGAGAGAGAATGAGAAGATATGCAGACAAAAAATGAAATATTAATAACAATTGTTTTAGTATTGTAATTGTATTATTTTACAGATATTCTCAATCTAATATATTTATTTCAGAATTCTATAATGTATGAAAAGTTTATTAATATAAAGAAATACAAATTTTTTATTATATTCGTAAAGTCTGGTTACGTTACAATTAAATATATAAAGTTGTGATTTATGAATATTAATTTAAACTATTTAATATCATTATATTACACTTTTGCATTAATTGAATAAAATTATAGTTGGACTCGAATTACGTTTTTAAATTATTTAATTAAAATAAATTTTAAATTTAAGATTTCATTTAATTTAAATATACTCGTAGAGTAGTAAATATCATATACTAATGTATTATAAACATAACAATTAATTTTTCCAATTATTCCCAGTAATGAAATATTATTTTTATATCTTTTTTTATTGACATATATGTTTTTTATTACAATATTCATAATTTTTAATAATTTTTAATAACTACTTCAATAAATCTTCTATAATATAGAGCATTAATGAAAATATTCACTTTTCTTGGGTGATAGTTTTCCACATTTCCAGGACTTGATCCTCTATGAATTCCTACAAGTTTTCCTTTGAGCAACATTGGTGAACCACTGTTCCCCTGAAAATACGTAAAACTATCTTAGAAGAAAAAGAAATAGTTTTTGTGGACTAAATGGTATATCAGTTTAAATAATTAGGCAAATTTTTTCGATTTTTACTTAAAATTAAATAAAATTCATATTAAATAAGTAGACATAAGACATTACAATAAAATATATTGTCGACAAACATTAAACTATATTATGCCGTCAAATTACGCAATCAAAATTTATATTTGATTTTACGTTCACACGATTCCTATTATTTACTTTTAATGAATATCAACATACTGTTTGGATAATTTTAGTCACATAATGTTTTGATGGAATTTTATTTAAATATAATTTAAGTACTTCAGTTTCTGTTAAGTCTTCTTTAAAAAATATAAATATAGTTAACTGATACTAACTTTGTCTAATATTACATATGGATCTGCTGCAGCGCAAAATTTATTGTCATTTAATTTATACGGACAATTTAAAAGTTCAGATAATCTTTGTTCACATTGAGGTGTCGTTAAAATTTGCAACTCTGCTGTTTCCATAAAATTAGACCTTTGATCATTATTTGTAATACCAAATCCTGCAGTTTGAAGTTTCGATCGGAACAAAACCTTATTTGTCGCAAATGATATGGATGGCGGTACAATATTTTCCTGGATTGTCTGATTCAACTATAATCAGTTAATTCATCAATATAATGAATTTTAAATTGGAAATTAAATTATAAAGACAGATGGAGTATATGTATATATATAAGTTCATTTCTGTGCATTTAAAAATCATTTAATATATTAAAAAGTAAATTACCCTTATCATCATTATATCATTATGTTCATATACAGGTATTGAACGTTGAATTGTACTAAATTGATTGAATGATAACCACCAAAGTACAAAATATCTTGTACCCTGCCTTATGTCGTGACTACCAACGATAATTTCGATAACGTGATAAAGGAAACCTAAAACACAATGATCAGTCGTTACAACATCTCTTTTTGAAACAAGAGTTCCTGTGCAAACATGATTAGCTTCTGGTCGTTGGTTGTTGCGGTTCATATTTGTAATGGATACAACAAAAGGAAATTCTCCTTCACGAGCAAATCTAACGTTTACTCCATGCATTGGATGTGCGTCACCAACTTCATATTTGTTATCTAAAGGATATAAATATTTTCAATGAATTCAATCTATTGAAATAATGCTGGACGATAAATAATAGATATTTTTCAACTTACTCAATATTAAATAACCAATCAACAGTAGATATATATGAAACTGCATTGTCTGTATATTAATTTTTTTAATTTTATATTAGTTAATTAAGATATTGTGATTATATTGTGCCAGATCTTTTTTAAGTTTAAATTATAACTTTCTATGTGATATAATATTTTATATCTATGCCTGAAAATATTTTTTAACTTGGCTTTATTAATACAGCTGTTCGAAAATTATGTTATTTTATGGATATTAAAAAGTGTTCCTATTACGTACAAACGATAAATTCATAGAATCATGAATACTTTATTAATAAGTAGGAATATTTAAAACGAATTTAATTTATATTTCAATACAGCACATTATATATCAAGATTTGATTTGGATTCAGTGTCATTTAGAATTTATTCAATGTGTACATAGAATTATTATACTATTAAGTACCTTCATTATTTTTTTTTCAGATTGCTCAAGACTTTTCAAGTAACATGGAGTTTTTTTTTTTAAAATCCCAAAGTCTTTAATGGATCGTCGTATAACTGAAATTGTAAATACGTTTATACTAATAAGCGTTTATGGAAGTCCAATTAAATTAATTGTGTAATTATAAAAATTGATACCAATTCTTGAACAACTTTTGAGAAGTTTAATAAATAAATTGTGTGAAATGTATAAATGAAAAATAGAGATTTCGGTCGCGTGCAATGAAAAACTAAAAACAATAAAGACAAATTTTACATAAAAAGTTTATCTTTCAAGATAATATTTTAATATTTCTCGTATATTCAATGTTTTAATAATATTTTCTATAATTCAATGTAAAAATTAATTTTCTACAATTTTGGAATATGGATTATAGCAACTAGAAAGTGTACAGAACGAGTCTAGCACATTCCATAAACATAATTGGATATATTTTTTTATTTATTTTGTTGAATCCTATCTATATGTATGTTCATATATATGTATTTTGATTTATAAATTTGCATATCTAATCCGACTAATCATTATCTAACAAAATCAAGAATATTTTTAAAGCCTAAAAATTACGACATGAAATGTATTAGTTTTATTAACATTTTATACAATTTGCAGCAATGATAATAATAAAATTTTCTAAGTAATTCAAACTTTAAATATTATAAGAAATGATACAAGATATATTATGTGTGAATATACTTATGATAAATGTTGAAGTTTTGAATAAGCTTCATTTTTTGCAAAAAAAACTTTATTAATTTTCATGTTCATATATATATATAATAGGCCGAATGAAATATATTTTATATATAATATATCAGTTGCGTTATTATTACATTATCAATCATTTTAGAATCAATCAACTACTTATAGTATTAATTATTAGTTACTTTTCAGATTATTTTCTATCTTTATATTATAATCATAATACTTTTGTGCAATTGAAAATTATTAATATTAAAACAAGTTGTTTAATTTGTTTATAATTTTTATAATCTATTATTATTTAATAATTCAATGTTAGTAGCCTTTCTAAATGATAAAATAATTCCTTATGTACAACATTAGCAACTAATCCTATTTACTTATTTGCTTACAGATATTTCGCAGTTATTTTCTTATTACTTACATCTTGGTATATTTATTATTTCCAATATTACATAATACTTTTTCTTAATTTCTATTTTTGATATTTACATATAAATGGTTAAATACATAAATATTCTTATTGTGATTTTTATTTTGCTGATTGACAAATTATAAGCTGTGTATATTAATTTGCCATAGTATACTTAATGTATTTTGTTTTTTTGTATGTACAGAAGTAAAATTATTATTGTTTTATTTAAAATATAGATATACTACTTAAAATATGTTTAGTACGATACAATGATTATATAAATGCATGTAATGGTTATAATAAAATCATTTAAATAAAGAAAACGGATTTTTTTTAATTTGGATTTATATAGAACTTCATATAATTAATTTTTAAATATGATTAAAATATGATTTATTAAATATATAAAATTTCTAACAAGCAATTAATTGAAAAATGCCTTAGTTTAAATTCACATTTTAAACAATTTAATTAAAGATTATTATATTTTTTATAGAAATATTGAAAATTTTTATTTTTGAAAGGCTTATAAATATTACAAGCTGTACGTTTAATTATACACAATTATCAACAGATTATTATACCTGTAAATTACTACTTGTCTTCTTAACGATTATTCAAAACATCAATTATATATTCATTATAATAAGGAACATACATAAACATATTTATTTTTCCTGGATGTAATTCTTCTGTATCATATGGATACAAAAATGAATGAATCGCTACAAGTTTCCCATTATGTAGAAGTGGAGCTCCTCTATTGCCCTAAAAATTAAAAGTTAATTATTTAAAACCATAAGAACTAAATATACACAAAATAATATATTAATTGTTCCTTAAATTATTGTTTATGTAATATTACATAAATTTTTATTCGATATTTCTTCCAAATAATACTATATCTTCTTGTTTTTAATTAATATTTTGAAGTTTTAATATTGTTAAAATAATTTTAAATAAATTTTTAGATTTTGAGATTTACTTATTTATTATATGAGGGAATAAATTGTGATAAATCGTGGAAATTCTCATCAATAAGTATTGATCGAAAAATATGCTATTTCAAATGAAATTTTCAGTTGTTTCATTATTATCTGACAATCGTTTGGATATGTATCATTATTGAAAATTATTTTTTTTTAATGAAGAGGGTATAATCAGTTTTAACATAATTATATCCATATTGTTTTATTTATATTTAATTCAATAACAATTTGTGAAATATAATTAAATGATACTTACATCATGCATTATCGCAATTGGATTAGCAACAACGCATATTAAATTAGGCGTAATTGGAAAGGGATGGCTTTCTCTTGTAATTCGACGTTCACACGATCGTCTTGCTACAATTTTCATAATAACCGTTTCCATCAGATTGGATATATGATCTCTAATTCTTCTACCGAAGGCTACGACATGAACAATTAATCCATTTAATGCTGCATCTGGCATAATTGCTATTTCTATTGGTTGAATATTTATGCTGACGGATTCATTTAACTACAACAATTTTAATTTTTCTTTTTGATTTAAATTTCATTTTAGAATTCAATTTTAAGAACAATGAAATTTATACGTAATATTTATTCTAAATTTTCAAATAAATATTAAATATCATTAATCATATTTGACATTCCGTATAAACAAAATCAATTTTCTCAATGCTTTTTTATTTATCAAAACGGAAATTACCCTTAATATTGAAACATCATTTATGGAAAAACGATGAAATCTGCCTCTTTGACGACACCATTCACGGTAAGTTAACCACCAAAGTACGTAGTGCTTTGAACCTTCTCTGATGTTGTTGCTTCCCACTATTACTTCAGGCACCTGATTCAAGAAAGAGTTCAAACAACTTTCAGCTGTTAAAACATCTTTATGTGAAATAAGAACTCCTGTGCAAACGTGATCTGTTTCAGGTTGAGGATTTGCAGGATTAAAACGTTTAATTGATACAACGTAAGGAAATTCTCCTGGATCAGCAAATCGAACATTTACTCCATGTATTGGACTTCCTGATATGGAATCATAATTGTTACCTAAAGGATAAATAATATTTTATTACGAGTTTTATATTTCGACGATGTTTGAAAATTGTCATTTTCTTACACAAAATGAGAAATCCAGCAGCCAATAGATATACATTGATCTGCATATTCAAAATATAATATCGACAATTACTTTAATAATATTAATATTATAAATGTTCAACGTGTTATTTAATGTTTTATGTGACTAATTATATTGGTTTTATGGTTCAGCTACTTATACCGTTTTAATGGAATTAGACAACTACATATAATGCCTAATATATTAAAAGTTTAACGCAAATATTTAATGACTGATTTTATATATTATAGACGATTGCATTAATAAAAAATAAATAATAATTCTTCATAAATGTTATTTATAGTTGCATAAAGATCGAGGATGGCGCGCACCGATTTCAGGACTGAGAAAACGTTATAAGTCATTAGATATATACACAATAATTTTATGCAATTAAATATTTTCATTTACGATCATTTATGAAATTAATGAAAATTAAAATAAAAATTTTACATATTTTGTCAAATAACAAAATCCAGTGTTTATTTAAACATTTTATGCCGACAGTAATAGAATGTTAGAACAGTTAAATTCTTTAAACGTATCTTACTGTTTAATTACTTAAAAATTAAGTAATAAAAAACTATGTGTATCATTATTAATATTATCCAGTTTCTTCAAAAGATATTACTTGTTAGTAAATATATAATACATGATTTTAATATTCTTAAACAGTTAGATTAAAAAGTAATATTTATAGTATTTAAGTTAAATCAACTTAACTGTTTCAATCTAAGTATCAATTTAAATTGATATAGAAATAAATAAAATTTGAATTTATTCTAAAATATTCGATTAAATATCATAAATCTAAAAAAAATTATACAGAAATTCCATTCCACTAAACGTAATAATTATAACATAAAATTAACAGAAAAGTAAATTTCACATTCGTTGGGAATTAAATAAAAAACTAAGGAAATATCAAATATCCGAAAAGCTTTACATAAGATAATAGTTGATAATAGCTTCTATACAATTATTTGTCGTTATAAAATAATATAATCGAATCTCTTCCTATTATGCCGTTTTCATAATTTATAGTTAAGGCACTCTTAACATTATAAAAAAAATACTTAAACCATCATACAGCTCTACTTGGTTACCTTAAGGTTATTTTAAGGTAATTTTTAATTCTAATCATAATTCTGTGCTGCATATATTGAAATTGATAGCTCTTAATTAATATAATTATTAAATCGCATTTAAATAATGGAGGATTATAGCGTTATGCAAATAGCCGATGGCATGATAATATAATATAATCCAGGTGATCAAATATATCAAAAATAGGATAGTTAACATTTCACGTGATTACGATAATTTATTCAATTCTTACTCAGATTACCAGAGTCAGAAAGTCCAGTTGATTACACAGTCGAAACCGGGAGATGTAAGCTGATAAAACGGAGCTCCAATAATATTTTTCAGCACTTACAGCCAACTTTAATTACAATCGCAATTACATTAACAAATGCAAAATTACGCGACTTTAGCAGCCGAGAATAACCAATAACACTTAGAAAACATTAGAAGTAGGGCCACAGAGGCAAACAAAGGTCCTTTTTTTACTTATACAAACCGTAGGGAATCCTAATGTTTCTCTCTTTTTTATGATTACGTCATCCCGAGCACGTTATTAAGGATGGAAATCCTGCGAGTGGAGACTGCAGGACAATTCAGCATAGGAGAGTTGGTCCGTAGCTTCTAAGTGAGGTATGTGCAATGGATAAAAATTGGCGATTGCGGTTGTTTGTGCGTGGGATGTGATTGAATCAACATATTTTGAAATGCTTTTTGTAACAGTGAGCAGCGATGTGAATTTCGAATTTGGGAATGAGATTCCAAAAAAAGTTGGCTCTTTCCGCGACGGTTTAATTTTATATTCTCCATAGAGAATATTATGGGCAAACCGATTTCCATTACTCAAACCTCATAACCGTCTGCATATGATAATTTTTTT